AAAATTAGAGAGAGCATGGTCACATCTATTAACTGGTTATTATTATTATAAGTTACCGCCATTAGCTATAAGTGACTATCACTATCAATCAACTTTTAATTATAAAATTAATTTTTAAATTAATACAATCAAACAATTTTTTATTTTGTTTTTAAAAATTTAAAAATTATATTGCAAAGCAGTTTTTAAAAATATAAAAATAAAACAGAAACCAAACACGTCCAAAATGTCTGGTTTTTGTAAAACTTAAATTGTTAAAGTTGATTTCCATGTACGCAGTTGCAACAAATCTAGAAGTGATCTATAAAATTTGAGGGTATGTTTTGTTTTTCTTTTCAAAAACATATTTTTGTCTTTAAAAATAAGAAAATTAAAAAACTTGTTTGGAGGAGTGTTTTAAATTTAATTATTTTAAAATGTTCTTATTTTTATTTTGAAAAATAAAAATAGAAACAGATTAAAGATGTTTTATTTTATTTTTCTTGTCTTTAAGATATTAATATTTGATCATTGAAAATTATAATTATCTTGACCAATCATTATCGTAAGCCAACATCACTAATCATCAATGACCATCACTACTGATCAATTTTTTAAATAATAAAACTAGACATATTTTGTTTTTTTTTGTTTTAAAAAATAATTTTAAAAATGGTGTTGTAAACCATTTTAGACTAAAATACACTTTCACTTCTCTAACTTTATACAAAATTTAATTTGATCATTCAATTTTGTAAAGTTTTTTTTTTATTTTTTAACCCTAACATTAGTAGTTTTAAATAATTATTTTTTGTATTAATTATTATTATTTAAAAAAATTAAACTTAACATGTCAATATTTGAAAATGTTTATTAATATTTAAAAATTTAATGTATAAATTTATTGAGATAAAATTAATAATGTTAAGATTAAAGAACTTAAAAAACACTTTATAAAGTTAATGAGTAAAATGAAATGTTATGAAAAATTAAAGAATAAATATATACTGTAGCCAACATTGTTTAAAAACAAAAAATAAAAATAAAAACCCAACATATCCTAACTGTCGATTTGATCATTAAAAGTATTATATTTTCAACTGTGGAGATCTACATTTGTAACTCAACTTTCGGTAAAAAATCTTTTTTTTGTTTTTTGTTTTTTGGTGTGACTTAAGTGTTACTTTTCCAACTTTTAAAACTTTTTGCGTGAGGAGAAAATATTTGCCATATGCCACATATATAATCTCTTAATTGAATTGAAATTTTATTATTTTAATTAAAATTCCATATAATTATTATTTTTATTAGAAATTTAATAGGGGAAATGCAAATAATATCTTTAATTGTTTAGTTCTATTTATTTATCTTAAGAAGTACTTTAATTTTGATCAAGGCGATGTTATTTTTGTGATTTTGATCTAATACATGAATGTTGTCAAGATGCATGAGAGCTCATTGTCCCTCAATAATATGATACTCAGAACTATAATTACAAGCCTAAAAAAAGTTGGATTAGATGATAAAAAAATAAATAGTAGTTCGTTTTTTATTTTATTTTATGTTGTGTTAGATTTTCCTTTGGGATCTCCATTCTAAGGAAATATTTGTATCTTAAATAACAAATATACTGGGTTCAATAAAGCATTCTATTGCCAACATGGCTTCCACCTCATAAAAACACATTTTGCTTGTAATAAAAAATTATAAAATAATTTCATTTAAAGAAAAAACTAACTTTGATGCTAAACTATAATTAATAAGGATGATTAAATGTATGATTTGGTTTGATTTTGGTCAAAACATGAACCAAATCAAACTAATAGGTTTGCACAAAAAATAACATTTGTTTGTTTGTTTTTTTAATTAAGATTAGTTTTGTTTTGTTTTTAGGTGGTTTGGTTTGATTTAGTTTATATATGGATCAAATTTCACTTCTTTTTATATAAAATCATATATTAAGGCTAAGCATAATTTTTTTTACTCTTTTTTCTTTCATATTCTAACTTCAAGTCATATTCTCAACTTTGTTATTCATGATGAAAATAAACATCACACACACACACACACACACACACACACACCACACCACACACACCACACACACACACACACACAACACACACACACACACACACACACCACACACACACACACATTCAAATTTCATTATTAATAAATACTAGAGTATATGCATTTGTAAGTAATATGAGTTAAATTTCATTACAAATTTTCTTGATATCTATAATGAAAAGTATCTAAAAGAAGGAAATCCTATATCTAAAATTATCTAAAAAGATCATTTTTAACATAACATCGGTATATGTATTGATTCTCTAATAGCAAAACTAAGAAAGGAAGAATTAGCGATTCTATTAAAATTTTAGGCTTGAGTTAGACTTTAGTTGGAGTTAAAATTTTAAAAAACAAGCACTAATAGTCTAATATTAATCATAAAAAATACATTTAAAAATTTAAAAGGTACGGTTTAGGTTTTAAAGAAAAAAACTGAAACTTGAACCAAACCATTCAGTTTTTAAATTTATAAAACTAAACCAAACCGGTCAGTTTTATTTAGTTTTATTAGATTGGTTTGGCTTTGGTAAGTTTTGTTCAGTTTTGCTCTGAGGACTAATATAGAGAGAAACGAGAGAAATAATAAGGAAAGGAAAAAGTTGAATCCTGGGTAGAAAAGCACACTAGTGCTGTTACAGCCACATTACAACTTGACAGAAACCAACAAGTTATTAAAGCTTTAGATTAGAGAGTATAAGCACATACTATAAAATAAAAACCTCTTCCGATGGCATCATGATATACAGCTATTAATAATAGTAAGCTCTCTCTGTAAGTGCAGCAAGTATTAATTTGATCAAATAGACCCAACTACTTCCATATGGGAATTGAACCAATCAACTGGTTTTGTTTCAGGCAACAGCTACAGTTTCAGAAGACTTGTTCTCATGATCAGCTGATGCTGCAGTTTCAGAAGGCTTGTCTTCATTACGAACTGAAGCAGCAGCTTCAGATGGCTTGTTTTCAGGCTCAACTGGTGCTGCAGTTTCAGCAGCAGGCTTGATTTCATGCTCAGCTGGTGCTGCAGTTTCAGCAGCAGGCTTGCTTTCAGGTTCAGCCGGCTTGATTTCTGGCTGGACCGGTGCTTCGGCTTCCCAAAAGGCAGTCTTCTTCCCGGTCTTGGATACAGTCTGCAGAACTGCCTCTGGCTGGACATTTCCTGTCACTGTCACCTTCTGTTCCTTCATATCAATGTCATAAGATTCAACACCTGTGGATAACAACACCATTACAAAGGAACATTTGAAGAGGAATAGCTGATCTCAGGTCTCATGGAGCCATTATTTGCAAATTAGGTCAGCTCTGCAAATTTGCTTCTATCATTCTCTTCTACCAAGGGAACCAAAACGATTGAACCAATAAGTACAAACTTTTCAGGAAAACTCAGTTCTAATAAATTCAGTGATGAGCAAGAGGAAAGCAAACTCAAGAGTTAACAGATCTTCTGGGCTATGAGTAGAGCTACATATAGAGTAAAACAAGTTCAAGAGAACACAAAATTAGTAAGAAGTTGGGCTGTTAAACCTTGTCATAATCCCTCAAGTGAGGTAAAGCAAGATGTCATATCGAGGAACAGAACAGAGAGAACAAGAGAAAGAGGAAAGGATAGAAACTGCAGGAAGTTTCAAAATTAAGGAAACACAAAACGCCACTTGAAACCAAAAACTGTTGGGGAAGACAAATGATAACTAGTTGAATGATAGAAATTGCAGAAACTCAAGTGTCTAGAAAGGTATTGAATGACTTAGACTGGAATAAAATAGCAAGAGAATATTGAATAATTTGTACTGGAAATAAAGTGGAGGGTTAATTTAGAGAAGAAGAAGACAAGAGTTCATGGTGCAAGCAAAGTTTACCTTCCATTTTGCCTAAAACTCTTCTCACTGCACCAGCACATCCTTGACATGACATGCCAACTTTGAGGACAACAGTCTGCATCCACAAAGTGAAAATTTTGGGTCCATATAATGAAAAAGGTAAAAAAGAGAATAATCATGCTTAAACACTACCCCCAGTAGCACAAACATAAAAAGAAAAATATTCAAAAATTACTTTAAAATTGGAAAAAACTGCAATCGATTTAAGAAGGGGAAAAAAAAAAGGACGGCAGAGAGATAAAAGCAAAATTGGTGTGATAGTACAACAAAACACAACATCCCTTGTTGTTTCACACTTTCTGCTTATGTGTTAACGGTCAGATATGTGATGCATAGATAAGATTAAGAATTGAAAGGTCCACATAAACTAAAGGAACCAGCAACATGTGTTTCATATTCAAAAGGAATATTTAAAAGATGAGTCAAGCCTAAAAACTTATAATTAAGTAACAGGTAATGATGCTAGAGCATTCTGATTAACTTTAGAGATCATAAAAAACATTCACAACCAGTCAAATAGCTCCTAGTGGTTCGAGAGAATTGAAAGCATAACCAATCAGTTAAGTTATTTCAAAATCTGTAAAAACACCCATATGAGGATGCCCTTATCCGTCCAAGCTATTTCAAAATATGAAATACGACCCATGAATTTCCGGCAATCCTAAATTCAAATTTCATTCCCGAAAATTCAATCAATTTACACTTCAAGGAATCCTGATAATAACTCAGCTCAGAAATTCACCCTAGTTCAGCGCAAACATTCAGAACTATAAGCGAGAACCCAAACGGGTCAGAATCATGAATTACAAAATAAGACATGAAGAAATAAAAAGAACTAGAATTGAACTATAATGATCAAACCCAAGAAAACTGATGAAAAAATCACAAAGAAGAGAAGAAAAATTAAGAAAATAAGGGGTAGGATGGAGCACCTGAGCCATGGTTATGGGTGTGGTAGAAGCTGAAGAAAAAGAAACCAAGAAAGAATGAACCAACGAATGGAAGATGGATTCTATTCTGTGCGGGGTTTGTGAAGAAGATGAAGCGCGAAAGAATCTTTTATAGACATGGGCGATCAACTTTAAAAATGTTATATAAAATATTTTAAATTGATGGGGCAAATGTGCATTTTTCCATCAAAAGTTTTTTATGATTTGTTGAAGTATTTTTTACTCTAAAATAATTAAATTAGAGTATCCTCTACCATAACGTTAAATCCTTAAAAGCGTCCATTAAGTCAGAGTTCAATTTAAAATTAGCATTTTCTAACAAAAGTTTATGAGGGTTTAATAACAATGCATATATACTCCGATTTAATTATTTTAAATGTAAAAATATCTAACAAATACTTTAAAATATTATGTCTTTCTTGAAAAATACTTTATGAAAAAAAATGTACCTTTACCTAAATTGATTTTAAGACAAAATTAGTTTTGAGGTTTTTAAAAAAATTATAATTATTTATTTTTCATTATATGCCTTTAACTTAAAGTAACTCAATTTTATAATTTATTCATTTAAAATAATTCAATTCTTATTTATATTCAATATAATTCAGTGCCCAAAGCTATAATTCTTCAATTGAGTAAATTATAAGGATTGGCTTATATTAGATTATTTTAGCAAAAAAAGGATTTATATTAAGTTGAAGTTTAATGATTAATCTTGAGATAAAATTAAGAGTTAAAATTTATGCTATTCAAATATTATTTATATATATATATATATATATATAAATAGATAGATTTATTTTTTTAACAGAAAAGAGATATTTGGTGGATGGGTGGATGTTGGGTTGGCTTGAGTTGGGTGACCAACATTGGCCACTTGAGATTTGCACTTTTGCATGCGAATATTTGTGACATTTATTTGTTTAGGTTCACTTTAAATACAGGCATTTTTTTAATGTAATTCTTACGTGTCTAACATTTTGTAGTGGGTAATGAATAAATAAGTTGCAAGGCGATTTGAATTTTTTAAAATAATAAAAAAATCTTAAAAACAAAAAGGCACAAACCAGGCCACCGGAGTCTGCATCAACTTTCTTTTAATGAACAAAAATATTTTTATAAAAAGGCACATTTTGGAAAAAAAAAAAATTCAGGTACTTGTTTAAACTTTCAAAAATGATCAAAACAAAAAAAATATTTCTCGGTGCAAAAAAAAAAAAACCCCTTGATGTAATCAACATGGAGAAATTGGCGAGAAAATAACATTAAAAGGAGTAATATAAAAAAAATGAATGGGAAGAAGTATTTTTCTTTTAATAATTTTTCATTGTAATTTATTTGATCTAGGAAAAATATAACTATGGGCCCTTATACTTTTAGCGTGTTTTGGCATTAGCTCTGGTAATTTTTTTTTCTTAGTTGCTTAAAGTCTATTAATTTTTAATATCTATTTACAGCATTTTTTGTTTATAAATATTTGATTTATAAACAAATTAGAAAATGGTTACTCCCCTTCTAAAAATGACTACTTTAATTGTATTTGATTGATAAATAAATTTGCATAAAGTAAGTAATCATTTTCTATTATGTTTTAATCAATAACTTAATTAAAATAGTCATTTCTTGATGTGTCGACTAATTTTTAGAACTTACACTTGACTGATAAATATTTATCGAAAGAAAGCAATCATCTTCTATTTCATTTTAGTCAATAATCCAACAAATTAATTACTTGACTTATTTCTCAACATGTTAGTCAGTGAGGAGAAAATATGTCATTTTGTCAAAAACGTCAAACAAATCTTTATGAACTAAACAGTAGTTATCACATCTCAAAGTATCTAATTGTTATTTACATATTTAAATTTTTTTTTATTTTCCCTAAGTTTGATTCAATGTTTTAGTACCTTAATATCATTCTCCCTGCTACAATTTGTGTTAATTTTTTTCAAAAATAAAAGTCTTAAATTTTTAATGAAAAATAATAAAAAATTCTTTTAAATTATATAAATAATAATTTAATCTCTTAAAATACCATAATTTTATTGAAATCGACTTTTATATCATTAGTGAGACCAAATTGCCATTGATTTTGTTGCAAATTTTGTTTAAAAAATCATAACTTTTTTTTTAAATTACAAGAATGCAACAACAAATTATAAGTTCACATTTCAAATTCTTGATATTGCTAAAGTGTTAAAAATAACAAGTGCCAATTATAAATTTCATTTAAAGAATCATAATTTTTCTTCTAAAAATCACACGAATGCAATAACAAATTATAAATTCACATGTTAAATTCCTGATATTACTAGTGTTGAAAATAACAAGTGTCAACCACAAATTTTATTTAAAGAATCACAATTTTTTTTAAATATCAAGAATGTAACAGCAAATTACAAGTTTGTATGTTAAAAGCAATCAATTTGAATGGATCAAGAGAAATTTGATCATTTATATTAAATCATCAATGACAAAAAAGTCTATAGAAATTTTACTGAAATTATGACATTTTAAGATATTGAATTATTATTTATATAATTTAAAAAAATTTTATGAGAAAATGATAATAAAATTTCTCTAAAATATATAAATAACAAATTGGTCCCTCGAAATGCCATAATTCCTGTAAAATCTTTAGGAGTTTTTTTATCATTAATGAATTTATATAAATTATAAAATTGCTCTTATTGAAAATAAATAATTCATAATTTTTCTTTTTATATTCGTAACAATACAACAGCAAATAAAAAATCTAACACGCAAAGTTATAATTTATTGTTGTATTGTTGTGAATTTAAGAATAAAAGTTATAAATATAAGAAAAAAATTGTGAATCATTTATTTTCAATAAGGATAATTTGATAATTTATATAAATTTATTAATGATAAAAAAGTCTCTAAAAATTTTAAAAAAATTATGACATTTTAAGGAATCAAATTATCATTTATATATTTTAAAAAAATTTTATTATTATTTTTTTAAATTTTATTGTCATCTTTTCAAATAATTGTGCTTCACTGTGACTGATGATGTTGTCAGTTGACAGATGCAATATGCTTGCCAACTTACATGCCGTGACGAACTCGGATGTTCCTTTTTTTTGCCTTCTTTTTGGTGAAAATGAGACTTCTTTCTAAAGCAAAGTTTGAGCAATTCTGATGATAATTGTATACCTTTAGAAAACATTTTTCGAATAACATATATACTTATTATTTTTTATAAGTAATAAAATCGATTAAAAAAAAAACAGGAAGTGGTTGGAAGCATAATGGGAAGGATTCGTTAGATGAGATGAGACGCTGTGTCTACACAGAATGGCGCAGTACAACGTACTTCCCTCTTTCCTCAAAACCTCTTTGTACTCTCTATAACTGCTGTACCAAATTGTAAATACATACATATATATATTATATATATATATTTCTTAATATTAATACTGGAATACATGTACTTAAAGAAATTATTTTTTTAATTAAATTAAGATATATGAATCTTTTATATTATTTATTTTAACAATATCTTTTTATTAATATTTTTTAAATTTTAAAATTTACTCATTTTGATTTGATTGAACAATGATATATTGTGTATAGAAAATTAAAGTATTTTCCTCTAAACAATCATATACATGGCTTATAAGTTATAAATAATAAAATTGCTTAGAATCATGTATAGTAATTAAAGTCATAGAGAGAGTGATTAATATTAAATCATCATTAATTCAATTTTCAATGTCAATAATTAACACATATATAATATCATCAATATTATTTCATATATATAAAATTATAAATATATGTAATCTATGCTAAAACAGTATTTATAACACATGAAGTATATGTTGTTCATCTCATGAAAGTGTATCTATAGAGTCTAAGTTGTAGTTGGATAAATTTAAGTAGGAATAGGAATAATTTACTCATCAAAATACCAATGGAATTATAATATTGAAATTTATATAATATTCCAAAAAGATAACAAATATGTTGCCACATTCTTATCCCTGGAAGAGCAATTTTATGAATAAAATCCTATGCACATCATGTTGACATTTTCCATTAACTAAAAGTATTGTCATTTCTTTTCTTTTTCATTCGCCAAAATACTATCCAAGTGTATCTTTTTTTTTAATTTTGATAATGTATGTCATTTTATTGAGAAAGATTTTTTTTATAAAAAAAATCAATACTTGTGTGCTTGTATTTTTAAATTGTAGTAGTATTTAGATTTATTGTGTAGATTTAATTTAATTTTATTTTATTTTACTCCCTTAAAATAATAACAAGATATAAAGTACGTGTAATCATTTTACTATAAATTTAACAAAATTAGTCATAACAAATAAAGACTTGTAAAAATCTAAATGGCCAAAATAAATTTTGAAATGTGTAGTGCTATTAGTAGTCAATGAAACAAGAGTTGCTATTATTCTAACTCAATGAGAAAAGAATCAATCTTCATCTTAAAGAAAAATAAGGACAAGAACTATACATTTATATAAAATTTTAAATAAATCATACTATTTCTAACTTATGAACAATATACCGTACTATATTTCTTTTTATGCTTACATAAAGATATGAATGATAAGCACAGCAAGAGTTGTTGGTCCAAAAAAAAAAAAAGAAGCACAACAATGGTTGAGTTTTATGAGACTAACCTGAGTATTTTTTTTTAAAAAACAACATTAAATTTATATGTTGATAGAAAATATACTCCCTCCGTTTAAAAATATAAGATATTTTTAATTGGATCTCACCCATCAATAAAGTAGTTACCTACGTTTAAACTAACCTTATCTTTTTATATTTACTCTTATTAAACATCCTACAATAAATATAAAGTTATTATTAATAAGGATACTTTTAAAAAAAGGTAATGATTACACCTCAAAAGACTAAAAATTCCTTACATTTTTAAACATTCAATTTTTTAAAAAATATCTTATATTTTTGAACAGAGGGAGTATATCTTAACCTCCGATAACAGAGCAATTTGGCCTCTTATTATTAGTTTTTTTTTTACCATAAAAAAGCAAATATCATGTCTGGCGAATAATGGCTGGAACATCTGAAGCACAAAGTTGTGTAATGGAATATGTCTTCATTCAGCAAAACCATTCTATGAAGATCAAACAAAATTTCAAAGCCAACCAATTAAAAATTTACAGCCAAAAACGGAATCAAATAAAATATAATACTCCTTCTTCTTCTTTGGTGAACAAATATAATATTACTTCTAGGTCAAGCAAATCCTAATTATTCCTGTTAGTTATGGGATATATCGTACTTGTTTATTGTCTAAAAAGGAAAAAAAATTTGGTCCGAAGTTGTTGATTTGATGTGGTTAGTTCCCACTAGATCTGCAATTTCAACCAATCCAAACGAAATTCCTTTTTTTTTTTTTTTTTGGGGTGAGGGGTCAAAATCCAAACGAATTTCGTTATCTAATCATCTTTTTCACTCTATAGGTGCAACCATTGCCATATTCTACAATTACGTCACCACACTCATTGCAATATGCCCTCTCGTGGTTCTACATGTAAGTGCTCGATAACTAATTTACAGATATTCAAAAAATAATAAAATTAATTATTTATAAAAAAATATGTGTTTGGTTTTTCTAAAATACTCCTTTTTAATTACTTACAAAAAAAACTATACCTATTGATGGAAACTCCCATCCATATGTGCAATTAATATGGATAGTTTGGGAAAAATTATAAACTTGGGAAATAAAGTTAATTGAAATCTTATATTTAGGATCAACTCCAATTAGCTCGCACATTTAGACGTGGAGAGAATATGTAGCCAAAGCATAAAGGTAAAAATGATATAGAAATTTCTGGGGAAAAATATTCAGTAAGTATATGTAATTGCAAAATTATAAGATACGATAATGAAGACATTCATTGAAGAAGGAATTTAACTTGCTAAACACATCCTCTGTACTGATATATGTGTGTGTACCAAAAGAATGAAGAACAATCAACTGATGGTTGATTCAAGTAGTAAAAAAGTTATGCCAACGCAATCAAAAGTCTCAAATTTGAGTTTTAAAAATGTAACAGTATTGGTAGTGAAGCTTCCACCTAAAAGTATCTTGACAAGCTTCCACCTAAAAGTATCTTGACTTATTTTGACCCAGAGTAGTTTATATTTCATTAAAATCTTCTCAACTTAACGTGAGGTAAGCTCAAAAGAATGATTGCAATATGCAAAAGAAAATAGAAAAAAAAAGAAAAAGAAAAGAAAGAGTGAAGGACACTAGCTCCTTCATGACAAAGACACTCAAGTCTGTTGTGTATTTTCAGGCTTTGCTTGCCATTTTAATTCCAAATTACAGCAGCAAGTTTGATCAAAATCTCAGATACAAAAGAAAAATGAACACGATCGCTTAGATTGAAAAGAAATCTCACTACGTGTTTTCCTGGCCAACTACGTTAAAAAGATAATTGTTTTTTCTATTGCATGCCAAACGTGCCATTAGCAATAATTGCCAGCACAATTGTTCCAAAAAATTAAAAAAAAAAAACCTTTATTTCTGGGTATGTTCATTAGTGTTCTTAGATTGCAATAAGCATGTTCTTAGAATATGTTCATCAATAGCATGTGACTTTTTTCCCCTTCTTTTGGTCAGAAAATAGCATGTGACAAACATAGAAACATATTGGACACTGGTTCTTCTAGCTTTGTTATTACAAATAACAAATACTACTCAAATTAAAAATGTGAAACTACTTTTCACCCAAAAAAAAAACAAAAAGAAAAGAAAAGAAAATCCTTAAACTAACAAGAGTTCCACTTGATCTCACTCATTCAATGTTGTTCTTTAACAATGGTTGCTACAACCATTTTTTAATATCGCAGTATCTAAAACTATAGGCTGATGAGAGACACAAAGTTCAAAGTGTATAAATCATTCTCTCATTCTTTAAACTGCCATTCCCGACGGCACATTGGGCAATGAGCTTGTGAAGTCTGAGAATTCACCCATTTCAGTATACAGTGCAAATGAAAAGCATGATTGCATGCACCCCAAACTGCAAGGTTTAAAATGAATCAGTTACACCTTTTTTGAAAAAACAAAAACAAAAATAATAATTGAGATTAAGAAAGGAACATGATATCTCAACAGGAACCTGCACATAATGATGAAACACATTTCACTCAAATGTTCAGCAAAACAGGAATATTTCCGCAACACTGAGATACCAGTAACCTTTGAAAAAAACCATCATAAAACCCCTTTAAATGTAATAGACTAATTTTGAAATTCTGGATACAGTCGGATATGGCTTGAATAATAGAACCAATGCACCAGCAATGGGTTTGACTCTTGATAAGACTGGCAAGGGAAGGTGTACTGGATTGAAGGTGACGCATTTCACACCTTTTCAGAAGGACTTGACTACGGTTCTGTTGCCCAAGAGCTATTTCAATAGCCACAGCCACAACCACCAAGTTAAGTCCTAGAGATCAGGCAGGAACCTCCTTTTCATCCTCTATGACGGCTTATTATTCACCACCATCATGAACCAATCTTTTTGCCTAGCTAATCCAGAAGACCTGGGCAACATTAAGCCGAGAATATACTAACACAAAGGAGAGAACCAACCAGCGTGTGCTTCTGATTTGGAGTGAAGGTTGAGGACGAGAGTGTCTCTGGCAGATTTGGGGTGTCTGCTACCCCCTCTAATGCCTCAAATCATAGCCCTTCATTTGAAGGAATTAGATAAAATTTCTCTGACTATAAGTGGAAATGAAGGAGAAGGACTGACATTTGAGGCATTAGAGGGGCAGCAGCCACCCCAAATCCGTCTTTAGCATTCTAACCTACAGGTAATTTTTTGCAGTTGTATTCGGTGTGCAGAAATCAAAGGAGGTCTCTCAGAAAATCAGATAACCAGCTATCAAGCCTGCTGCCTCAACGGCAGGTTTGAAGAATCAAATTTACGGAATTCAATCATAATTATTTGGCATAAGCATGACAGAAGCAATGAAATCCACCTATGATATCATCGGTAACTTACTCAAAGGGCAGTCATCCCCGGGATGTTTACAGTCTGGGCAACAGCCATCAAAAGCCATCCTACAAATCCCACATGTTTCATCCTGAGCATCCCATGTCCATGATGCAATAGCATGCCATCTATAATCAATACAAGGAGCAAGAATTTTAAAATTTTAAGACAGGAAAGCCAACAACAGTTAAACATGCCGAGGAGCTTCCAAGAGTTATTTCACTATTTGCAAGAATAGAAAAACAAATCCATAATTAATTAATAATTCCAAGCATTTACATACAAATATAAATAATGATTACATACGACAAGTTAGAAGCCAAAATTTTACATAACAGATCTTCAAGATAGAAAGAGAACATACTCTTTTTGGAAGCCCAGAGGAAATCCAGACAGAAAGCTGAGTCAAGCAAAACATTCTACAAAATAATTGATATGCTTACATCAAAAGTTTTTAAAATGAAACACAAAATAAAACATGTAAATTCAAAACACGGATATTCTATGACAACCCAATATAAGAATTTTAAACCTAACTACATTGAATCTCTATCGTTGTTTGCAACAACATGGGAATCTCAATTTAAAAAGTTCCAGATGTCAGCTTGTAATAAGCTTTTATCTGGTATGTGGATTCTAAAAGGAGGTCATTTTACAAATCCCATGGTTCCCTTAAACAGATTTAAAATTCCCAATTTGCATGCGGCACCAGCAACAGTGAACTATCTAAATATACGATCCTGCAGAGGATGTCAAATACGATGCTGTACTTCTTATTACTCCATGATTGGCAAGATGAATGGGAAAGCTTTAAACAAACCATTCTCTGTAATTTCAACATTGCATTCTAAAAGTAGATTAAATCACTCTCACAACCATGAAAGACACTTTTGGTAAAAAAAAAATCTATGAAAGACCCCAGTGAGGAAACGAAACTACTAAAATTCACAATTGAAAGACGAACAAATAAACACAAAACAATGGCCACAGCAAAAAGTAATAACAGGACTAGCATTTTGGCAAGGATACGCAAGACCTTAACTTTCATCTTCTTTCCCTGCAATCTACAAATAAAAAGCAAGCACAATCAAGGTTGGAACTTGAATCTATTAAAAAAACATAGCTTTTTATTAAAAAAAAAAAAAACAACATAGCCACGGAAACGAAATGAAACACTTATCACCAGCCGGTATATCTTACAACAAACAACAACAACAACCAGCCGGTATATCTTAAACCTGTCCAAATTAGTCTTAATCGAAAGGGAACAAATTCAAGAACTTAATATCCACCACTTTATTTGATTTTATCATCTCGGAAGGGGAGAAAAAATTCAAACTCAAATTGAAAGATATATCTCTAAATTGGAAGAATACCACATGGCGGCAACTTGGGAAAAAAACATATAAATATTACATCAACGATACAAAGATCATCATTTATACCGCTAATTTAAGTACCAAAACCATATCAATGATCGAGTAAAAATTGTAGAGAAAACCAGAATCCGGAACAAGTATTCAGACAATCAGACCCAGACCCATTGCATGAAATACCCCAGACGCTCATGCATTCACACTCCAACATGCATTTTTCCATCAACTCAGACGAATACATGGTGAATTGATCGTAACCATGTCAATCACATTCTAAATTGCAGATAAAATAAGGTGCAGAGTACATGCCTGCAAACCAAAGGTTGTGATAATGCAGGTTGGGTGGAAGACGGAGTGAGGATTAAAGACCTGTTCGACGGAAGAGAGAGATGCCGACGCCAATAGGAGCTGAACAGATGAAGACGATGAAGTTCTAACTTCTAATGACAGCATATTACAACAATGTGCGTTAATATGTCCAATTATTGCAAGACCAGCTTGCCAAAGATTTACCAAAACACAAGAATTACATCTTTATTGAAAGTTTTTTTTTTTTGGTCGAAAAGTCTATACATATTTATTAATAACAGCAACACAACAGTCAAAAAGAACAATCCAGTCTCTAAATTCGCTCTGAGTCTGCCAATATAAATGCTATCCTTCCAAGAACAGGTATGAGATGGTTCGAAAAATATTAAAGTGACATGACCAAAACCATTTCCTAGAACGTCACGACAACCTCCTGTGGGATTTTTCAGGGAGGGAGTCACACGAGATTTAGGTTGGATGAGGGGAAACCCATGATTTAAGTATGAAGAGAACAGAGATAGAGAAGGGAATCGTTGGGCTGGAGGTGTTACCTGCCTAATCGATGGCGAGACCGGCGGCCAATCCTCTGATTAGTCCACAGTGAGTGCGTTCAATGGGAGAGCTTCGTTGACGGAGAAGGCCGTTGGCGAGTGATCAAAGAGCGGCGAAAACTGAGAAAGAAATTAGATTTGGGAGTGAAAAGGTTTCCTGGAAGAGGAAAGTGAATAGAGGCATTAGTTTTTTTTAAGGGAAAATCACAACAAAGACCTCGGAGAGACATTTATTACAAACAAAGGCCAAACGATATGAAAATGTGTCTGAACACAATAGTTATGTTTAAGTATGGAAAAGTGGTCAATATGGTCTCAGGTGTCCAACTTTGTGATGCAAAATAATTTAAAAAAAAAATTAGTATCATTAACTAGATCATTGAATTATCTTTCTATAAACATTTAGATCATCTTAATTGAATGTCAAATGAAATTTTAAAGTGTATTAAAAATTCGATCCCTGGATCTGTCATAATAGCAAGTTGTTGTTATGAATTTTGTGTAATGCACCATGACAGATGACACCTATATTGTGGTGCACAACATTAGAGTCTCACAGGTCGTGACATATTTTAGATGACTCATTTTTCTTCAAGAATGATCTTTTAAGCCTTATTTTTTAATATTTTCAATCTTACTTGATATCTCATGTTTCGTATGATTATAACTCTAATTTTTACATATTTCTTAAAATTCTAGTCCTTTATTAAAAACTTGAGACTTTGTTTGATTTAAAAGAATTCTAATATCGTAGTGGGTTTCAACTTTTTCTATTATACTAGAGTTTAATTACTTAGTTTAACTATTGTATCATGATATAATCTATTCTATCATGGTAAGGACTATATGCATATATAATAAAAGATTTATTTTGATAAGTTTAATTTTATTAACTATAATAGACCTTTGAACTGATATTTTCCTTTTCTAATATGGCTAGCTATTTTCAATTGCAATTAAGCCCTTTCTATCATGATAGGATAATTGGAATTAGTTATCTTCTAATTATCATGGTAGAGTTTGGTAATCGTGGTTAGATTTGTGGTCAAATATGGTGACATAATTGTAAAGGTGCTCCTAAATTAGGAGACTACATAACTCACTAACCGTGGTTAATCATGGATTAACTCAAGAGGATTATCCAAAAATGATTAACCTAACTTAACTCAACTTGTATTTTTCTTTTTAGAGGAAATATGTTTCAAAATTCATACCAAATTAGGATCCTAGGTTTTTCAATATCTAACTACGTCAAACGATTGACTAGTAATTGTAACACCCTCAAATTTACAAACTGATTTTTCGCAAATTATTAATTCAAGAAATCATTTTTTTTTCTTTTTTTTTTTCATTGAACCCTTATCATACCCTTATCATGGTAGAAAAATTTCTACCATGATACATCCAAGACAATATACCACAGGTCTTAAAATATCTCAAAAAGCAATTAGAACCATGAGGGACAGACATGATCCTCATAGCATGTTATTTAAATTAGGTCATGAATCAAAAGGGACAGACATAATCCTCTTGGACATACAAATGCATTTAATAAAAAGGATTAGAGTTTACATGCTCCATAGACAAAATATGTCCTAAATTGGCACAAGATACATTGTATAATCCAAAATAAGAGGCAACGTAAAAGATGGTGTCTCATACACCATAATTACACCTCTGGTGCTTTCTCGGCCGGATTCGCTCCTGTAAAAATATTAACCACGGGGAATGAGACTTAAAAGTCCAGTAACCAAAAATTAATATGTAATGATGCATGCGGATGTAACTAATCATGCGATTGCTAAGTGGGCACACAAAACATTTAACCGAACAATACTTTCAAACAAACCGAACAAGTATTTAATTTACATGACTGCACCTTATATCCTCCTTTCGCCATGCTCGGACGCCAAATCACCCGGCCAAAGGTAAGTTGGACCAAGCGATACGCCACTCATTGGGTCCAATGAGGGCTTACCACGTGGTAATAATTAACCGAACAGAAATTCCCATTAACACCATACATTAAAATACCCTGACAAGTCATGCATCATTCAAATATCCAAACAGGAATATATCCGAACAATAATATCTCATCATGATAAACAAAAATAAATTTTTGACCCACTTGGCAATGATTTCACACAAGTATATACAGTATTTATTTTCAATAATTCATAATTTTTTCAAACAATAAAAACAACACATAACCATTCACAAACACACCCATCACAACACATTAATAATGGTTACCTTGTGTCTTGAATAACAAGTTCCCCTTCACAACTCCTTTTTCACCACTATCTTTGTCAATATAATCTACATAATTATTTCACAATACTATATATTAATTTTACATTAAAATAAATAACTCTAATTTAAATAGTTAGAAAGTTTTAGATCTATAATCCATATTAACACTAATTTAAGATTTATGCCTCATTTAACTTCTCAAATTCTTTTCTAAAATTCTCGTACCCTAATAAACTATTTTTTATCCTCAAATCACTTCTAGTATCACAATTTCATCCTTCTATATTCTAAAAATTTGTCCAAAAATAAATTAAAAATTTTAAAATTATCCTGAAGCCTCAAATCACCTTTCTATAACCTCAAAATACCTATTCATACTTAAATAAATATTTAATAATCATAGGTTTATCCCTACATCTCAGATTCCACATAAATTCAACCATATAGATCTAGATTTTAACTCAAAAATTCTTAAACATGAGTTTCAACCTCAAGAAAAATATTCTATAATATTTATTATATCCCTAAGAGTTTTAACTTATATTTTAATCCATCATATCATCAAATTAACTATCCTATAGAAAAATTCTAATCAAAATATTTACTCTATCCTACAAAATAATCATATCACTAGAAAGCTAATATTATTTAAAAAATAACTATAAAATTTATTTTGTAATTAAATAAATTTTTAAATGCTAATCTAAACAGGAAAGTTAGAACATACCTGAAAAAAAAGAAAATAATCCCTCTTGCGAGAAAACGCCAAGCAACGTGAGAGGAAGAGAGAAAAATAATATAAAAATGGGATTGTGAGTCCCAAAATTATATTAAAAAAAACTATAGGTTTGAATTTAATTATTCAAACCTTTGGGC